GAGGGATCAGGATTCTGCATTTGCAACAGTAACAGCAACAATGATGACGATGACAGTACTAGTAGTAGCACTTTCGCTGCTGTAGTAGTCGTCGTCGTCGTCGTCGTCGTCGTCGTCGTCGTCGTGTCGTCGTCATCGTCGTCGATGATGATGATGATGATGATGATGATGCTGCTGCTGCTGCTGCTGTTGTTGTTGTTGTGGGTAGTAGGGGTAGTAGTTGTCGTGGCAGTGGAGTTGCTAGTGGTAGTGGAGTTGGTAGTGGAAGTAGCAGTAGTAGCAGTGATCACAGTTATGCTAGTAGCCGCTTAGCACCACCGCGATGACGGTTTCCACCTGGTCTTTCTAACTGTTGCCATTGATATGCTGCAGGCCCACCTAAATCGACATCTAGTCCTTTTGAAGCCCGTTACCCGAAGTTATTCGGCTTTTCTGATATAGCGTCAACGTCCGTATCCAATCCGGCTGCAGGCCCGTCAGAAGATTCAGAAGACTCCGGCAGCGATGGGCTCAAAGTTCAGTTCACCGACACCGACGGAGATGTAGCTTGACTGGAATTTGGTGTGCCGGCTCTTTCTAGAGGCTGTATGCATGCTCCTCTGCTAGATGGCAGTGAAGACATTTCTGTGCCGCAGGTAGTCCTACTTCGGGTGGAGGATGATCATGTTGCTGAATATGTAAACGGTGAGCCCGAGTTGGAACGTGTGGAGCGCTTTGAGATCGACATGGAAAAGCGTATTTACCATGACGATTCGGGAGAAGGTCGTTTTGAAGATGCGGAAGACATCAAGGAGATTGATGTGAAAGTCAAGGAACTTTTCGCAGAAGCATCGCGAGCTGCACTGACGAAGCCCAAGCGGGTCCGGGCCTTAGATTCCCAGAAGTGGAAACAAATTGTCAGTATCTTACGCAGCTGCACAATGAAGGTGAAGAACTACACGAAACCCAATATCCTTCTGCTTGGTCCAACTGGCAGCGGAAAGACGTACTTGTTGCGAAATCTGGCGGCCGCTTGGGAGCATTTTGGGCGGCCTCTGTTTCTCACTACTGCGTTTTGCTGTTCACGATACGCGTAGCATGCCATGGTTGCGTTTATTTCTGAGACGCAACAAACGCAGCGTCAGCTATGATGATGATGATGATGATGATGGTGATGATGATGGTGATGGTGATGGTGATGGTGATGATGATGATGATGGTGATGATGAAGAATAAATAAGTACAACATAAGCGCAATTTCAGTGTTGATCTCGCAGCATAGCAGCATAGACATTGCCAAATTAAGAAATCAACGGCGTTAGTTTCATGTGACACCACCCTAAAATGTCCGATGCACAAGAGCAAGCAACCGATTCATATGCCGGCGATTGCGTCCGGTCTTGGCCTGCAATGCTGCAGCACTCATTAGGATCCCGAGGAGGGATCCTACCTGCCAATATGGCACGGTATTCCTGAATATTCCTGAATCCGTTCTTGGGGCTGGTCAGTGAGTTAAAGGGTTCAGGGGGAATGTTGCGTGACAGTGAAGAAGGAACATGCACGCATACATTGACATTATCCCTTCCATGGCATGCTCTTGAACCGCAGCCGTTTTTTGCGGTCGCCTGGCGGACATGAGGGCTACAGCACGTAGGCTGCTGAGCCTCTGCTGCATATTTGGGCATTTCTTAAAATGGTAGTTTCCCTAAACAGAGGGACCCAAATATAGGCTCCAAAACCCTAAAGTCCTTATTATAGGGACCCCCCAAAAGGTACCCCTAATTTTGGGGAACCCTCCAAATGACCCTTCAGTATTCCCACTGAAGGATCCCCAGAATCCCTTTACTAGAGTTAGTCAGGGTACTCCCGTTTTGAAAAGCCTTTGTTTGCGCATAAGACATGTGCAACAGAGTAACAGCAAAGTTGGACTTATCCTGATATCTGTGCTGCTTGCTATTGTTGTTATTTATGATTACTATTGCTCTTATTATTGTTCTTATTATGACTAATTATTGCTATGATGATTAAACTTTTTTGTTATTATGATTATTACTGTTAATGCCATTTCTAATGTTGTCTTCATGTCATCAAACCATAGCAAATGGGGCCAACTTGCAGCTGCCTAGCTGACACTGAGGAAATATGCGCCGCTTGCCGCACCCCTTGCCGTTCCGGTAGCTCGCGCGCAAATCCCGGATGCTGAGCTAGGCTCACCGTAAACCCTAGATCCTAAACCTGGGTATTAGAGCCTCACTGGTAGCAAAAATCTTAAACTTATGGGTCTCTGTGTGGGGGATAATAACCCTATATCATCCCCACCGAACCCCATACATAGTACTTTCCATTTAATTGTCCATATTATTTTCCATTTGATCCTCCGTTATTGGGATTGTAATCCCCCCTAGACCCTAAGCGCTAAACATTTGGGCTTTGTGTTCTAATTTAGCAGCTGTGGCATGACACGACTGCTTCGCTTGCAGACCGGCGTCGGGAGAAGACGAAGCTGCGATGCTTCCCTCGGGTGTGCTGCAGCACGACTACCGAACCCTGACGCAAAACTGGGGGGGGTTGTAGGGGATATATAGGGGATGTATAGGGGATATAGCGGGGGCATATGATTCCGGGTCGCCGTGTCGTTAGCCCCCCCCCAACCCCTGACCCCGCCTAGACCCTTCAAAAACGTGCGAAAAGCGTGCGCAGTCACAGCGACGGTGGGTGTCAAGGTCGCGATCTTCGTAACTGTGCTCGTTTTTGATGCCCGGGAGGCGTCATCCTTGTAAGTGTCGTCGTTTTTTGATGTCACATTTCTCGAAGCACCAGCAGTCACAGGGATGGTGGGTGTCCTGTTCGGAATCCTCGTAACTGTCAACGCTTTTGCAGTCTCATATCGCAAAACTGTTGACAGTAACAGGGATAGTGGGTGTCCTGTTCACAATCTGCAAGACTGTCAAGAATGCTCGTAACTATCACCGTCTTTGATGCAAGTGCCAGCAGTCACAGGAAGGGTGGGTGTCCTGATCAGAATCCTCGTAACTGACACAGTTTTTTGTATGTTGCAGATCTCAAAAATGCCAGATGCCCTGGACGACCGCAATGAACCAGACATGACACAAGTACAAGAACACACAGGGGCCAAGGGGGGAGGTGGAAGGGGGTTCATCCTGCAGACAGTAGGGTGCATGATCATGGGAGGGTCCTATCATTCCGCCCAGCCGGCAAGGATCGAATGGCTAATGTGCAGACGGATAACGAAATATTCGTTTTTTACTCCCCTTACCTAGTTGGCAAGGGTGAAAGAGCAAATATTCGCATGAGAAAAAGGATCTATGCGTTTAGTCCGTGCTCCAGCTGAATTTAAGGGCAAATAACAGAGGATGAAGAGGCAGGATGAAGAAATATTAGCTAATATGTGTTCCTGGCCATACTATGTTTCCTCCCATTGCCTAGTTAGCAAAGATGAAAGGGCTAATAGTCCATATGAATAGCAAGGGTTTATGCGTTTACTCCTTACAGGGATATTCCGCTCAACATGCAGGAACGCGAGTTTGCCTATATCCACGAGCACAACTTCGATGACAAGATGTGGTCAATAGCTGGTAAGGTGGACTTCTTGGGCCTCATGGAGGCCGGAGAGTTTGCAGTTATTCTTTGCATCTTTTCTGTGTTGCCAGCTGCATGGCAGAAATGCTTGGGATGGCAGGAAGGTTGCTACCTTTTCAAAGGTGTGGCTCAAGAGGTCATCCAGAGGCCAGGCTCGCCACATGCTCCGGCGCTTGCTGAGCCATGAGCTTATGCAGTCGAGTTCTCTCCATATCCCTGCAGGCTTTCCTTCGGACAGAAAGTGTTCGCCCGCAAGGGCACGGTTCTTATAGAAGAGGGCTCCGAGAACAGCGCGCTGTTCGTGGTGGGTCTCCAGTCTGCATTTCCAGTCTGTTGTCAGCCACGCTTGCAGCAGGGCCTCGCAAATTTTAGGTCATGGCACCTTGGCCATCTCCGTTCACGGCGAGGAAATCGCAACAGTTGGCCCGGGGCAGGTGATTGGACTGTCTTTTGGCACAATTGGAGGAAGAGTGCATTCGTGGACCATGTGGAAAGTTGCATGTCCGTTTCAGTTTTTGCGCATCCGGATTCACGGTTTGCAAGTGCCCTTGGTGAGTGGCCCATGATTTGCTGGATATCAACCTGACTATGTGCGCTGAAATCACAACTGAGGGTGTAGGAATGAGCAGATAGCAGCCAGCCACAGTGACTGGATCTCAGCCCGGCTTCTTTGTTGCTTAGGTACACTATGCTCAAAGGCACCATGGCTAGTGCAAGCGTCATCGTCTCGTCTGACGTGGCCTACATCCTGGAGCTTCGCCACAGTCCATGCCTTATGTTCACCTCCTCCTTGCATGAACCTCGCCCTTCCCCCCTAATGTGAAATATTCCCGTACATTCCCATTGTGGTTTATGGCACTGTCTATACTAATACTTGCTCTTAGGGGCGGGGGGGGGGGTTTTAGATTATTAGGAAGGTGATTTCTCCAGGCCTCCCCTCGTGCCGGCTGTAGTATTCACACACTTTTGGATTGTAGTCTAAACTCCTTAAAGGGGGATATATAGGGGGAAATGTGGGGGACTATATAGGGATCGCTATAGGGGTTATTGAGGCGGATATAAGGAGTTGAGACTAGCTCATTTGGCCCTGCGGCAACTCCAGCCGGAAAGACGAACATTGGGAGTGGTGATTTGGTGGTTTCCTAAAATCGGTTGACGCCATATAAACTCCAGAATACTCTACCCTTTTATATTACAGGGAACCCCCCCCAAGGTTTCCCAAACTTTTACAGAGATCAACTGTAAACGCATAATCCCGCTTAAGTAGATAGAATATGGGGTATATGGTGATCTTATGATAATGTACCCGAAACCATATTCTATCTACTTAAGGGGACTATAACCCTAAACCCTAAACCCTAATTTATCTACTTAAGGGTGCAGAAGCATCGTGAGCAGCTCTGAGGGCTCCACTCTTGCATCTTTTGACCATAGGGGTTATAGGGAATATATTGGGGTTATATAGGGTTTTTACATAGGGATAAGTAGGGTTTAGGGTTTAGGGTTGTATACTACAGGTGTTATATAGGGATAATTGAAAAGGAAATGGAAACTATTAGAGGAATTATAGCGGTTATGTAGGAACATACTGGGGTTATATAGGGATAATGGAAAAGAAAATGGAAACTACTATATTATAATAGGGGCTATATAGCCCTATATAGGGTTCTGTTGGGGTTATATATAGGGATAATGGAAAAGAAAATGGAAACTACTTTATTATGCAAGGATTTTACGGGGATGCTACAGCTGGTTAGCGGCTGAGGTCACTTCATGGCTTGTCTTGACGACAACCCCGATGTGAAGGGTCGAATGCAGATATTGCTGGAGCAGCGCGAAGCGCAGAACCTTGTCAAGCAATCTGTCTTGCGCAGGCAGCATGGTTGCCACACGCAATGTCAAGAAACAGTAAGACTACTGATGATGGGCATGTAGCCCAATCTGTCTGTTATCTACTTCGAGCAACCGCGCTGCGGCAGAGGAAGCGGGCAGTTGACCTCAATCCAAAGTGCCCTCCAATCTGAAGAACATCTGACAGAGAAACGTTGATAACAGAGGAAGGGGATGGTGCTCGGCCGTGCTGCCAGGGGCAACGACTCCTGAGAACGATGAAGAAAAAGAAGGTCCTGAAGCCTAAACCCTTAAAACCTGTATTAGCTTCTGTTTGATTCCCCATTATCCCGAACCATGCGCAGGGAACATGTGAGAAGAGCCAAAGACCAAGTTTCTGGGTTGTCCCCAGCGAGAACAAAAACCACATTGGGGGGGTTGTCAAAATTAGGGGACCCTTTCAAGGGGGTTACAGGGGATGTATAACGCCTGTATAGGGATATAGAGGAGGATTGGAGTCAGAGTATATGCCTGCAACAGTTCTGCTTTGCTTCTCCTTCTGAAAGCAAACAAGGTGGAGTGGGCATTAAGAACACATTCCAAAATCTGTAGACTTCTGTGCTGCGAGAACCCCGCCTGCCTCCAACACTTCCCGCTCTCTCTTCAGATGCCAGCAGCGCAAGATGATTCCCTGGTAGTACTTGCCAAGATAGGCACCCCACAAAATCCATAGTCCATTATATGGTAGTTTCCCAAAATAAGGGGACCTCAATATAGACACCCAAATATTATAGACCTTATTATAGGGAAGCCCAAAATGGTACCCCTAAATTCGGGAAACCCTAACCCCTATAATCCTCTATATATCTCACTTTCCATTTCATTTTCCATTTTCTTTTCCATTTGATTCTCCATTATAGTAGGTGCACCTAATTTTGGGAAACCCTAAACCCTACATCCCCCTATATATTCGCTATATATCCCGTACCCCTAATTTGGGGAAACCTCCATATCCCGAAAGGGTCCTGGAGATGCCTCAACTTCAGAAACCCCTCCATTGGGATTATGGAAAATAGAATGGAAACTACTATATATAATGTATTGGGGTTATATAGGGGTTATATAGGGATAGCTAGGGTTTAGGGTTTAGGGTTGTATATTATAGGGGTTATATATGGATAATGGAAGAGAAAATGGAAACTACAGGAATAATAAGGGGTTATGTAGCGCTAGGGAACATATTGGGGTTATATAGGGGAATGGAAAAGAACATGGAAACTACAACGGGGTATGTATAGGGGTTATATGGGTGGTTATCAAACGTATGATCCTTTTTGGGTACCCTAGATTTAAGGTGCCGTATTATAATAGGGATCCAAAAAGGAACCATAATTTTGGGAACCCCCTGTATAACACTTATGTAACCTCGAAAAAAAAGGAGTTTCCATTTTATTTTCCATTCCCCCAATTTCATGGTGCTGTCTCTGAGGAATAAAGCCGCCGAGATGATCAGTAAGAAGACGATCAAGGAAGTCTGAGCCAGGAAGGCAGTCTTCCGTTGTGGATGCTTAGGGGCCAAGGGGACTATGTATAATTATATAGGGGATATATAGGGATAATGGAAACTACTATATTATTCAGGGTTTAGGTTTTAGGGCGAACCTAGGCAGTTGGGGTTTAAAGGTTTAGTTGCCCGGGCTTCGCAGGCATCGTTGAAAGAATGTACATCGGTTCAACTGCCGCTAAGCATCAGCAAGTGCAGCAAGACCCAAAAGGGTTCTTGACTCAAGCCAGGCCAGCTCAGTGCGTCGTCCACGCGACCAAACAAGTCGTAATAAGCCATAAAGGGCTTGAGCATCTTTTATCAAAACCCCACGTAGGGAGTGACGGCTTAAGTGCAAAAGATTTGTGTAGTCTGCAGTCTAGGACTTCATAGATCTTAAAGCTCGGTCAACCTGACTTTGCTGGCAGCGACGCTTTTTAAAGGTGTGCAGTGCGCTGCGCCGTGTGCTGCGGCGCGCTTCCGTGCAGGTCTCGATGAGGCAAGTTTGGGAGTCAGCGCCTCCGCCCTCCCAAGGGAGACGCTGACATCGCTTTCAAAGTCTGTGGACCGGGCGAGGTTAATCTGGAGAGCAAAAAGCCTTTCACTCGAGCCTTTTGCACCCTCCGCCGCTGTAATTAGGGATTTTTCCATATTCAACTCTGGTGCATCTCAGGATCTGATTGGGGTGCCATTCGTGAAAGCAGACGCCTGTCCCTCAGCATCGCTGTATCCTGCAAGTCATGTCATCTTGTTACTCCGTGCTGTTCAAAGTGGCCTTGGACGGAACCAATTCGGCCAAGGCGACCAAGTTCACAGAGACTGGATATGTTGGACGTGATGCTGACGAGGCACAACTGCTAGCAGTGAAGGCAGCTTTCAGCTTGCTCTTTGCCTTGCCGTTGCAGCAATTGCATGACCTGAACAGACTTCAGACCTCAGCAGTTTGGACTTTTGCTCATTTTTTGTCGTGGAAAGGATCCAGCTACAGCAAGAAGGCAGGTGTTCCTTATAATGGCTGAGCGGCTTCAGAGCATGGTGAAACGTATCGTTTTCCGTTTAGAAAAGGAAATCACTGCTTCACTCATTGCTTGATTTGAGACATGTACCGTGACTGTGATGATGTTGTACAGCATGCGTAGAGCATCAGGCCTCGTGTGAGTAATCTCGCTTGTTGTTAGTAGGTGTATTTTACACTAGCCTTCACTTCATGATTCTTCAACTTTTTTTTATTGCGTATTCATGTCCAGTACTTGGAGGGTCAGGGGGACTTAGTAAGTAGGTTAAGAACCCCTACAGCCCATATGATAACCCTAATTCGCCCCCTCATTATCCTACTTACTAAGTCCCCCTGACCCTCCAAGTAAACACTAAACCCCTAAACCCCAAACCCCTAGGTAGTAGTTTCCATTTCCTTTTCCATTATCCTTACGTAACCCCTATATTATACCCCTTAATTCAGTGTATTAACCGTAGTGCTAGGACGGTTGGAAGCACCTGGAAGGACCTGAAAGAGGCTTCCTGCCTCGTCTGAGATTGCCACACTTAGGATGCCTGTGTTGCAGAAGAAGCTGTACTCAATTCCTACAGGGTTCGACAAAACAAAGAAAGTCCTGGGTAGTTATTAGAAAATACAACGACCAAATCCAAACCCCGAGAATGAAAAAAACAGCATTAATATTGCGGCTAACATTTCGACTGACAGATCCAAGGTCATGAGTGAATTGCTTCAAGCCGCTGATGGTGATGTCGAGCTTGCCCAGGTTTGTGGATAAAGTTTTAGTATGTTATGGTATACCAAGGTATACTTTAGTATATCATGGTATACTATGGTATATTGTAGTATTTTATGGTATGCTATGGTATATTATGGTATATTCTAGTATACTGCGGCGGGTGGAAAGTTCGTCGCGCTGCCATGTCTTCAACTTGAATCTTGCCAACCCCCTTCCCCCCGTAGATGCCTCCACCAGCCAGCTCGGGGCCTCAAGTCCTCCGTCTGGAACAATTATAAGTATTATCATTTTATTCCAGCGTGATAATTCCTCCNNCTCCGCTAGCCAGGCCAGTGAAAATGAGCTCCTGAGTACTCCCTGTCCTCCGGGACGTCGGGGCGTGCACGTGCGCCAAAATCATCCGCCCGGTGATGCTCTTGGAAAGGAGTTTGCCACCAAAGATCTTGTTGCCCACTCCCCCAGCCGTCGGCAACAAAATCCTTTCCAAAAAAAACATTCGGTAGGCCTCGGCGTTCCCGAAAGTTTTGAGCCCCGGATCCTTGCGGCGTGTTTACTGGAGTGCCAACATCTTGCGGAGTAGCGGAGGGGCCCCACATGCCGTTTTCTATGGCCCTGCCAGCGGAGTAATTAATACCCTGTCCCCACAGCATCCTCTGACTACTCGGATGCCCTTCTTAGGGTGTTTTTGGGGATATATAGGTTATGTGGGGATATATAGGGGTATATAGGGATATATAGGGTTAAAAGGGGATATGCAGGGGTATATAGGGATAATGGAAAATAATATGGTAACTACTATAGGATATAGGCCTATGCAGAGGTATGGGCTACGCAAGCTTTGGATTTTGCTTGCAGACTTTGCTGCAGTGACTGCATGACAGAAACTCTATCGACCTCCAAGTTTTTGTGATTGGCTATGTTTTCAATTGAAAGCGTGAGGAATGGCTTAGCTGTCCTAATTGGGGTTCTAATTCAAGTCCTAATGCTGTATATACCGAGCTTCAGTCAGGTGGACTTGTGGAGAACAGCTAAGATAATTGGATTACAGGTTCGGCAGCTACGGCAGAGAGTGTAGTACAGGCCCGGGTTGTTTTGGTGTCTCCTCAAGTGGTAATTGTTCAACATATTTGTCTCCCAAATGGCCATTATATGGGTTTTCTGTTTGGTTAGGATCCCCGTTTATGGAAGTGTATTCCCAATGGTCCCTCCTTGACAGGACCGGAACAACCCCCTTCTATTTCAAGCTCCTATGTTTGGTCGACATGGGGAGTTTCCCAAAATGAGGGGTACCTTTAAAAGGGGTGTAGGGGATATATGGGGGCTGATATAGGGGGATATAGGGCCCAGAGATCCACAAAACTGATTCCCACTCCATTTCAAGCGAGTAGGACGGTGGATAACAGTCCAATTCACCCCACTCTTTGCATGCGAGACATCGAAGTCATACACCATTGAGCTTAGATTTATGCGTCCCAATGTGAACCAGGGAGTCATCTTCGCGACAAAGGTCCCCATCTTGGATTGTACAAAAAATCATCCCCTTCAGGTGGGCATCGTCTATGTGGACGAGATCGACAAGGTTTGTTCTGAGGGAGCTGGGCGCACCTCCTCCTTCAGGCATTCAGCGGTGGCAAGTGGAACAAGCAAAACAACTGCAAGAATGCAAGTCACCACAAGCTAGTAGCGGCGCAAGCAACAATACCTGTCACAGTGGTATTATGTGGCTTTGATACTGCGAGTGAGGAAAGTGATGATACTCCAAGCTACTGGCTTTTTGAACATCGCTGGAGATGACAAGAGCTGTCAGCATGCTTCAGATAAAGCAGAGGGAGCATTATGAGAAGCTCCTGTTAGCATTGCAATCAGAGTAGCTGAGCCCTTCGTCAGCTTGCCTGATTTGGGTCTTGCCTGCAGGCGGGCTACACAAAGCACGTTCTTGAAGCTCATGGAGGACCTATTCAATGGCTTGCGCTTGTGTCTCACTAAGCCTGTGATGCCCACCTTCAGAGCACTTCACAGAGCCTTTTTTGAATTGCTGTGCCAATTCAAGGGCAACCCAGACGGGAAATGAAACTGAGTTGCACTTCGCCGCATGCGGCTTTCTAGGCGTAGCTTCTCTCATGCGCGGGTGCCTCCCTTTGCTGCACAGGACACGGAAGTGACTGTGGGCTCTCAAGGACCAAGACTTGTTCTTGGCGGCCTGGGCGGAGACAAGGGCACGAAGATGTCAACAAGGCATGCTACTGCAGAATGTGCATAGGTGAGAAGTTTGAAGACTTTCAATAGAACCCTATATTACTATAGTAGTTTCCATTTTCTTTTCCATTATCCCAATATTGGTAGCTTCCATTTTATTTTCCATTTTTTCAATGAAGCTGAAACGGGGCCGGCAGCTTGGGCTCAACGGATCAGCAGAGCACAGCAGAGCTGTCCCTCCAGGCATGTGCTTTTTGTCTTCTCCGGCGCCTTCAGCCAGCTAGATGAGAAGCTGAAGGAGGCGCGTCTATCTAGTTCACGCGCATAGGATATATTGCAATTGCAGCAAAGTGGTTTCTTTGTAATTAGACAAACGGGGGATGGCACGCTTGCTGGGAAAGCTCCTGCTGCAGTCCGAGTGCTCATTGCTCATGCACATGTTGTGTACACAGTTCTAACAGTGATTCTGGCCCGTCTCTGCTGCAGCCTGGTCCGCTGAGAGGCACGATTATGTCAGCAGCTGTGAGACAATGGCAGGATCACATTCGCGACATGAAGGGCTTTGGCTTTACTGCAGAAAATGGTGGGAAGCCTGAAGACGTCAAGTCGATGCTTCACAAGGCCGAGCTTGGGGTGGAGGGAGGGTGCTTAGAATCGGAGGTGGGCAAGGTTCACGAACAGTAGGAGCAGAGAGGTTGCATTGATATGTAGTGATTCCTCTGATTCAGAGTCACTCATTCATACTTCCCTGTATAGTCCCCCTTAAGTAGATAGAATATGGGGTATATCGGGATCTTATAATATACCCAAAGCCATATTCTATCTACTTAAGGGGGACTATAGCTCCAATCAGACGTCGTAGCTCAAGGCACCGTCTTCTTTGTGAGCAGATCATCATTATCACACGTTGTAGGTCTCCCGTTTTGAGGTTGCTCCTTCGTAGAGAGAGAAGGACAAGGGAATGGCTTGTTGGTAGTTCCCCTTATGTGCTTGAAGTATATTACTTTGCTTGCCTCAGGCAGACACTGAACCTTGGCTGTGTTGATTGGCACATGGATCCAGACTTTGGCTATCTTGTGGAAATACTGGCCTTTGTCGGTTGAGTCGATATCTTGCAAGTTAATCCGAGGAAGAACTCGTGAAAGCTGGCATGGAGAGGGAGTTTGTTGGTCGCTTGCCGGTGCGCGTTGCACTTCAAGCCCTGTCAGACGAAGACCTCTTCCAGGTACTGACGCCCCTTAGCTAAACAAACTTTCACAGCAACAGAAACCATGTGCTGCAAGACCAGAGCATACCATCCCGGCCAGCACCTCAAGACCTCAATGTTTCAGTTGTTAGCACCATGCGCTGTGTGTGTTGTCAAGCAACCACTGGCCGTGCGTGTGATGCATTTCAGGACAGCGGAAGATGGCGCCCCCAGATTGCAAATTCGTTTTGTGTTCAGTGTGCTTGTCCATGCTTTGTCCAGCCTGATGTGACGCGTCTCCACGGTTGCCTTTCCATGCCTTGTCAGTGCTGGCTTCAGGCAACTTCTCAGCTCGTAGATGATTTCCGACGCTACGGGATTGAGCTTCTGTGCTGCAAGGGTAGGAGTGCAGGATTGCAAGACAAGAAGCAGATATTTCTGCAGCGTGCCACCATGCAACCATTGGCCCCCTGGGATCGCCTCAATGTACAAAATGTAGAGCTGCCCTGTGATCTTGGTGTCAACAGTGGCCATTGGCATCATTCTCGCATGTCATCACTTGTACTGCTTTGTCACCGACCTCCTGCGCAGCAGCTACTTTCGCTTTCCTCAGCATTGCGGGCACGACTGCCCGACAAACATGAAGACTTCTACCGCCACTGGTGCTTCCGCTAGTGTTATTGCTGACACTCAATCAGTAGGAGTAGTGGTAGCGGCAGCTGCCCTTCATTCCGTTCACACTTCAAAAGTCACGACATTCGCAACTGTTGGTGCTGCCGCAGCTGTCAGTGCGACCGTTGTTGCAGCTGCGACGTCTGTTGCTAGCAGCATTCGCCAGGAGCCATAGCAGCACTGGCAGTAGCAGCAGTGGGCGGGAGCACTAGCAGTAGCTTTGCACTAGGTATTTTTCTTAGTACTGCTCCTGACCTTAAATTCTCATGAGTGACAATTTATGATGTTGTTCTTTCTTGAGGCTTCGCTTCACAGAGGAGGCACTGCGCACTGTCGCAAAGAAAGCTGCCACGGAGGGCACAGGCGCACGCGCCCTCGCCGGACCCTGAGAATATGGAGATGGCATAGATCCTGATAAGGAGCTTGCCCTGAACTCAACAGATATGGGTGGTTGTCAAAATTGCGGTCCCTTTTTGGATCCCTATTATAATGCGTCACCTAATATTTAGGGTACCCAAAAGAGGAACCCATAATTTTGACAACCACCCATATAACCCCTATACATACCCTATTGTAGTTTCCATTTTCTTTCCATTCCCCTATATAACCCCAATATGTTCCCATAATTTTGACAACCACCCAAATTCACCTTCAGATCGTTGTCCAATGTTACTGTCCGCCTTCAGGTCACCATCCTTGAGAACAGCTTGCCTCCTGTCCGCAAACAGAATTTTTTATTTGGGGATACTGGAAAATAAAATGGAAATTATTATAGTATAATAGGGGTTATATAGAGGTTATATAGGCTTATATTGGGGTTTTATTTGGGAATAATGCAAAATAGAATGGAAACTGTTATAGTATATGAGGGTTACATAGGGATAATGGAAAATGCCAAACTCTAGAGAAGCTTTGTTTGTAATGCCATCGGCCCAAAATGTTGTCCTTCAACCCAAGGAGGCGGTACAAATTCTGCCTGCCGGCGCTGGTCCCTCGTGGTTGCAAGACTTTGGAGGCAACGCCGGCCCACTCTAAAATCATTCAGACTAGGTGCACGCGTATTGATATGGCGAGCCACGTGTGAAATCTGAAATGCTTCTAGTCATCACCATCACTATCATCCGCAGCAAAGTGCAAGAAATCCAGCTAGTTGAATTTTTCCTGCAAACCCTGAACCCTAAACCTTAAACCCCTACCCAGATCAGCGTCAGGATCTGCTAAGACTTAAACAGTACCTCAACCACTCCTCCAATTTCCCTGATCGTCTGGTGGCAGCGCCGACGCGCCACCCAGAAAAAATTTCAATCTTCGCAGCAAGCATCGGAAGCGCATGGCTGTCATAAAAAAACCTTAAACCCCTAAACCCCAAACTTCAAACTGTATAATCCTAAGCCCTAGATAGTAGTTTCCATTTTCTTTTCCATTATCCCAATATGACCCCAATATGGCCTTATATAACCCCTATATGATATAGTAGTTTCCATTTTCTTTTCCATCATCCGCATATATCCCCCAATATGCTAACTACTGGTAATGGTGCCACCGTGCCCCGTTAGGTGGACCCAGATCTGATCGAGCACCCTGAGCGGAGACTGGATGAATTGTTGGGGCAGTACGCCTTGACTGAAACGTGAAAAAATCGTATGTGTATAGGGTTTAGGTTTTATTGTATAGCGTTTAGGGTTTAGGGTTTATTGTTTAGGGTTTAGGGTTTAGTCCCCCTGAAGTAGGTACGGGTTAATTTGGGGTTATATTGGAATACTGCAAAAGAAAATGTAAACTATTATATTGGGTTTATAGGGATTTCTAGATGACAAACTCATTACATTGAAAGTTACTTGATGAAGACTAGGAATGTATTGAAAAGGGTGTGGTTTAAACATATGTCTGTACCTGGCTTTCTCCTAACTCGAAGGTTTTTGCTGACTCGTGCCGCCCTTTTTCTTAACTCGTGTTTTTTCCTGACTCGCAGGCTTTTTCCTGACTTTTGTTTTTCCTGACTCGCCGACACGTGCTTTCTGTTTTTCCTGACTCGTGCCTTTCTTTTGCCTGACTGGTGCTTCTATTTTTCCTGACACGTGCCTTTTCTTTTTTGAGACTCGTGTCCATTTTTCCTGACTCGTGCCTCGTTCCCTCCTAATCCTCCGATATTGTTTTCGAAATCTTTTTCCCAGATAGCTAAAAGTGAGGGATTACAATAGGACCCCCCCAGAAATTGGAACCCTATTAGGCCTCATTGAGCCCTATGTAGTCCTTATTAGCTCCTTAAACCCTGGGGGGGGGCACCTTTGGGGGTGGGGGTACTAGTGTAACCACTTAAAAAGACATATATTCTTTATAGGGACAATAGCGGGATCCCTATATCCGTTGTTAAAGGCCCCTTAATACCGAATATTCATAGTAGCTCATATACGCAAATATAATATGTAAAGCGCGCAATTAAAGTCGATGCGGCAGAAAAGTCCGCGCAAACCCTGGTCTATGCCTGCGAAAAGTAGGAAGACATGACAGCCGAGAGTGAGAAAGCCAGGTACGCACATATGTCAAAACCCCCCCCATCTTGCAAGAGAGAAAAAGAAAACACACTTAAGAGAGTGAAGAACACATGTTCAACCCCCTGTTCATTTTGCGACAAGTAGGAAGCCGTTAAAAAAAACCCTTTTCACCTTGCGTTAACTAGGAACATATGACGGAGGGAAACCAGGTACAGACATAGGTTAAAACCACCCCTTTCACCTTGCGATAAGTAGAAGGACATAAAATAGGAAAAACGAGGCACATACATGTGTTAAAAGCCACCCTCTTTTCACAATCTGATAAGTAGAAAGGCATGACAGAGGCAAAACCAGGTACAGACATATGCTGAAACCACATTCACGTTGGTAATAAGTAGAAAGACATGACAGCTCCGAGGGTGAAAGCCAGGTATGCGCATACGTCAGAACCCCCTCCATCTTGCGAAGGATAAAAAGGAAGTTGCCACTTTGCAAGATAAGTAGGAAGACATGACGTAGGGAAAGCCAGGTGCAGGCAGATCTTAAAGCCATCCCCTGTTCACCTTGCGATGAGTAGAAGGACATCACAGGGGAAGCCAAGTACAGACATACGTTAAGCTGCCCCCTTTTTCACCTTGCGATAAGTACAAGGACATGACAGAGGGAAGCCAGGGCGAATATCCGAGCATCCAGGAGCAGGAGGTCAGGTGTCTGATGTCGTTTTCCCGTATTCTTTGTTCCCGACGCACGCTTTCCCTTTCTTCCCGATTCGCGCCTGCCCTTTTTCCCCACTCACGCCTTTTTTTTCCCGACTCACGCCTTCCTTTGTCCCGACTCACGCCTTTTTTTTCCTGACTCACGCCTTGTTTTTTTCCGGCTCACGCCTCAACCCCTACTTGGCGGTGCTTGAGCCTGTACAGGGTATTTGGCGGGTCTAGGAAAATATGAACCCTATAGAATATTCCCTTATTCCCTACTATAACCCCAACCCCTCCAACCCTCCTACCCTATCCCCTAACTCTAACCCTGCTGTATATTGGTTTTTTAAAATTAGAGGTATCTTTCTGATAACAAGGACTATAGTATTTGGGGTCTATATTGGGGTACCCGTATTTTGGGAAGCTACCATACCCCCAGTCCAATGCGGAGCGTGTTTTTCTTGTGCCATCTTGCTCAAGCCGTGAAGCATTCCAAAGCAGTGGGTCTGGGACCCCAGTTCCGAGACCGTCTTGCCATTGGGTTGAGGCTTCAGGTTAGGGATTCAGGGGGCTTAGGGTTTGGGGTTTAGGGTTCAGGCTCAGGGTCTAGCGGTCAGGCTTTAAGTTTAGGGGTTAGCGTTTACGCGGTCTGTGATAAAAAGCCTTTATGACCTTCAAGCCTAGCCCGTACTTGAAGGGTCAGGGGTACTTGATAAGTAGGTGAATCGCCCCCATAACCCATATGGTAACCCTAGTTATCCCCTTTATTGACCTAGTTATTAAGTCCCCCTGACCCTCCAAGTAAACACTAAACCCCTACACCCCAAACCCTAAATAGTAGTTTCCATTTCCTTTTCCATTATCCTAATATACAACCCCTATATTATACCCCTTAATTTAGTGTCGTGAGGCAGTGCCTGGCAAGAAGGGGGAACAACGGCAACCTTCGACGTTTTGCCTTTTCTGGGTTGCTGCTGAGGAACTTAATTCAAGTTACTATATTGGGGACCTATTATTTGCTATATATATATATGTATATATAGGCAATTCATTTTAAGTTCCTTACAAGCAATCCCGTTTTTCAAGCTTATTCAGGGGGAGTAAGCGGTGTAGTATAGGATATCATGAACACATTTTCGGGGAATTTCCGTTTTGCTTTGACCTCTAGACATTGGCTTTTGTGAATGCACTAGAGGTGTTGGGGTATCATTCCAGCTACTTTTGGGATCCAGATACGTATCCTTGAATAAGTGCGCCAGGACATGAGCGATTTGCGAATTTACACTTTGTACGGTAGAGAGCCATCCCTCATAATCTGAACCCCTACGACCCGCCTACATCACCTATGCGTCGCCCTACCAGCCCCTTTATGACCGAGTCTCCATTGCTTTTTCCACATTTAGTTTCAGTTTCTCCACTATCCCACACCCCTACACCCTAAACCCGAAATCCTAAACTAGGGACCGAAAACCCACCACTCCAACCCCGGGTGGAACAAGTATATCCGTCCTGCAGTCCGGTTTAGGGGTTTGGGGTTAAAGCCTTGCTGCAGCTGAAGAACCCGCGCCGTCTAAACTTGTACTCGACACCTCAAACAAAACCTCAAATCCTAAACAGTAAGCCCTTAAGCCCAAGAAGCCTGGCAAGCTTTCCTCTCCAAACCCTTGAAATGTAGATTATTGGACAGGGCTTGGGTTTGGGGTTTATGGGTTTAGGGGTTAAGGGTTTATGGATTAGGTTATAGGGCTGCTCAATGGTACACCCATAAACAACCCTCTCCCAAGTTACCCTTTGCCCTTTCAACTTCTTTTGCCCCTCCACTGGGCATGCACATAGCCCAAGCTAGCTATTTTTTAAAGACTTGATCCCCAGGGTATCAGTGCTATCTTGCTTTCTGGAAGGAGTTGTATTTGGTAATTGCAGCCCCATCCCCAGGAACAATCTAGGTTGCAAGTATGGGCCCCTCACATGGGCCCAGGGCAGTTTTGAGTGGGTTCTAGCGGCCTTTAAGAGTATATCCACTTCGGGTATGCAGGTTTCTAGGGACTCCAAGTCTATGTTCAAACCTTTGAGAAAGGGACCTCGTATCGGCACTAGGATGTTAGAATCCTTCTCCACCCTAGCAGCCCCACATGAAGCCATAACCCAAAATACTTAAGTCCTGTAACCTAAAAAATAGACCAT